TAAATCACGCTCTCCTCAAATATCTTTGCATCCGGGCTAATTAGGCCGCGGCAGTCTTTGCCTTCTTGGATCCATTTGACTCGGCCGCTTCGTCCTCCGCGGCGCGCGCACGCTTTTGTGTCCGCGGCAGGGTGGGCTCGACCTCCGTAAGCCACGGCAGACCCGTCTGCTTCATCTGCACGGCCAATTGGAAGAGATAGTCGAGGCTATATGCAGCAAGAGATTAACGAGTTGGCCAACTGTTATTTTCCGTAGGGTTTGGGGGCAAGTAAGCAGCCAACTACGCCCAACGCCGACAGTGAAAAGAGGGCTCGCCGAAAACACCGAATGGCCCCCAGGCAAGGGTGCGGATGTGTGTAAGACAGCGAGGGCCCTAGACTGGACGAAGACCTAGCAGAGCCTCATCGCTGTATACGATAGGGCTGAGAACGTCCGGGGTTGAATAGCAGAGAAAACCAAAGAAAACAATGTTTGACATACCTTTCGCACATCGTCTTGGCCTTGTGAACCGACTCTCCCCAGACATACACGCCGTGTCGCCGCACCAGGACGGCGTACGTATCCGGGTACAGCTCCATGGCCTCCTCCAGGAACTCAGTGAGGTCCTCCTCGTGCGCGGTGTTCTCAATGACCGGGATGCGCAGCGTGTCGTGATAGCCCAGGTTGCCCGTCTTGGTGTAGCCCTTACCAAAGCCCTTGATCTGCTCGATGTTGTTGATCTCGAACAGCTTGCCGGCGCTGCGGTCCTGGGCCTCCCCAAACAGGCCGTGCGACTGGGCCTTCGCCTGCGACTCGAGGATGAGCGTGACGAGCACCGCCCACTGCGAGTGCGTGTGGATGCAGCACGCCGCGCCGCGCCGCGTGAAGGCCGCCAGGAAGAGCGGCGTGCACTGCGAGGGCTTGAGCGAGGGTGGCGAGCGCAGGTACACGCGGTTGCGCAGGCTGGCGGACTGCGCGAGGTTCTGCGCGAGCGAGAGCACGTAGATGTCCGTGTGCTTCATCAGCTCCTTCTGCACCCCCGAGGGGGCGAGATAGACGAGGTCACTGGCGGCACCGTTAGAGACAATTCCTGGTCGATCATGACGGCGATGCTGTGCGTCCCGATTTCATACTTCAGCGAGATGGTGGGATGTCATGATATATCAGATCTGTCTTGCACCACTTGATGCTTGCTAGGCAGATACACTAGGCAACGCTAACAGACGACTCTTCAGAAAGTTGAACTGAATTGAACGAGATGGGCCAGATTGCACAGCAGGAAGAAAAGGAAATTGCCATGATTTACCCATCGCGAATGGAGCATCCTCCTCCAGTGCCGGTGACCCAGCCTAGCGTCCAGAACTTGGCGCATAGTGAAGGGATCAGGTTGGCTGGATGCTGCTCATTGTCCGAGTGGATCAAGTGGTCGTTGTTGGTGCCATCGATCGGGCTGGTCTCAGCACTCGACTGTGCAGGAGTCACCGTCTCCAGAGTCGGCATTGTGTCTACCGAGCCGCTTCAAGCTGGATTGGCAGAGCTTCCTGCTTCAGCCGGCAGAATGGGAAAGTCGAGGCTACAAGTGATTGGCAATGTGGCTTCACTGCCGGGGAAATAGGAGGAGGCTCAAATTGACTTTGACAGGACACCAAGATCCTTCCACTTCGCAGGATTGAGCCTCCCGCACAATTTTCCGCTGGTGGCTAAACGGACGGCACCGGGAGTGCTCCGCTCCTCTTCCCAGGCCAACGGCCGGAGCACGTCATTTTTTTGTGCCTCCCCAAGCTGCAGAAAGCTAAGCGGTTCTAGACGCTACCTCCCTACGGCAACTACTGCGAGGCGTCTGCACGTGTGCGAAAACGTTGCTGCAGGTGGAGGAGAGCTGCTCTGTTAGACATGCTGTCACTTGACAACTGAACACTCCATATAACTACTGTGCTATTGTGCGTATATAATACTTAACCACACGCTCAAGGACAACTACAGGACCTTAGACGACTCAACTGCATCGAACGTTCATCTTGCGATGGGATTGTCACCTTGTGGGTCCGGCATCGCCTACTTCAGCTCTACACACTAAAAAAGCAATAGTTTCAACGTCAAAATGAGTTGGTAAACCGCTTCTGTAGATCTACGCGCGTCGCGCCCGGCTAGAACGTAAAGATGAGCGCTTAGGTGCTACGATAGTATAGGATCAGCTTCGAATTGGAAACTAGACATGGTCCAGGGGAAAGAATTAGCCATATGGGTTTACATTGTCTGCGGCGTAGGGAAATCTCATATAAGGGGCTGCTAGGAGCCGCGAGAAGAGATGCGTGTGATTCACTGTCGCTCGTTAGTATATCGACGCCGCCGCCATGCTGTCTCTCCGCCTTGCCGCCCTGCTAGCGGCTGTGATCCCCTTTGTTTCGGCCGCATGTAGTCCCTGTTCGGATGGTTGTGCGAAGGCCGTCCGGCCGGCCAACCATCCCGACCTACCGATTACAGCCGACTGCTCCTCGTTTCTTGAGCAGGGAGACAGTGCATCGATCCCGGAGTATGCTCAGGAGAAGTGTGGCTCCACGCATGCGTATGTGAGTGCTTGCTGGTGCATCGGCATCACATCGACGACCTCATCTGCCGTATCGACGAGCACCGTTGTATCTAGCTCAGAGTCATCACCGACCACTGTGTATCCGACGACGAGCTCCGTCGAGCCTGGTAGTGATTCAACGTCAAGTCCAGCTCAATCAAAGCCTAGCATCACGGAGCAGACGACCGAAGGAACCCCGAGCAGCAGCCTCGTCACGGCATCAAGTACGGCGACCACCTCCGAGCTGTCCTCCAGCGAAAGCCCAATCTCCTCGACTCTGCCATGGACGCCAATGCCCAGTTCCACGGCTAGCGAGTCCGTATCTGCCACTGAGGTGTCCTCAACAATCGAGTCATCCTCGTCCGTCGTGGTTGAGTCTTCCACCTCATCTACAAGCGAGTTCTCAACCACAACGGCTTCAGCTTCGTCGACAAGTGAAACCTCTTCCGTAGTGTCCTCAACAACATCTTCCGCCGCGGCTATTGCCACGCAGTTCAGCAGCCTCGTCGCCCGGGACACAAGCGGCACCGACATCGCCCTGAAGCTCGCGACCCAGATCGCAGGGGTACGCTACTACATCTCGTGGAGCTCAGCGGCCATCGCGACCCCCGTGACCTCATACAACCTCGACCCGGAGACGGGCCGCCTCTCGGCAACGCTCTCCACCGGCCAGGTGCTCTGGGCCAACACCGCCATCCCCAGCAGCAACTACAACATCGAGGTGTTCTTCTTCTGGCCGGCCTCGGTGGTCGCGTCCACCTCGGGCAGGTACTACCTGTCGTGCACGCAGGACAGCGAGCACTACCTCACGTGCGTGTCGGAGGGCGGCGAGGACGTGAAGTTTGTCAACGTTGGGCTGTTCAGCGTCTATGTCACGCCGGCATCGTCGAATACGTACCCACAGCTGCAGATCCGCGGTTCAGTCTAGGATGATGCTGGTAGATGTACGCATGCATGTATCTGGAGTGTTCTTGTGGCAAAGAAGATATGTATATGCATAGGTGTGGGAGTCTTGCGAATTTGGCGCAAGACATCTAATTACCTTAATACTCTAATCATGTAACCATTAGACGGAAAAGTGTACGCTCATCAGCAAATATGGAAGGTGCTTGTAGGTTGAAGCCGTGACTTTGATGAGTTTCCAGCTCAGGCTAAAGAGCTTTGGTGGGGGCGCAAGCCGCTTTATGAAGGCCACGTTTCGCAAAGCGATGGGAGCACTCTATAGTGAAGAGACTCAAACTCGATTGTCAGCAACGGCTTTAAGCAAATTGAGACCAAATATTGCCTCTTGAAAGCAAGGACCTTCACAACTGAGGATGGGACTCGGAATTCAACATCTTGTATTCTCCTTAATGCTTCTTGAACCCGTTGTTGAAATACAATGGCTCTGTGTGGCCCATTGAAATCCATCTCAGCTTCGATCGAGCCTAGCAGAATTGGCCAATCCTTAAAGGGCATGAGGTGCCTCGGTGCAGGTCCCAGCATCCATGTGGAAGGTCGGTGTGTGAACCACCGAGGCCTTCTTAACTTATTAGTTAAAGGTGTCAACTACCCAGACCTCTAGGCCCTCTAGCTGAGCATAGCAAAGCTGTGGAAAAAGGGGGACATGGAAAGCCCACACACATACCTACCTACTCAAGCAATTGCTGAGGTACTTAGTTAGTGAGCATACTGTGTCTGAGGTATAGCTAGCATGAAACCAAAGGACCGCCTCTTGGTTAATGCACTTGCCAACAGGAGCCATTGTGGGCCTCTTTTTTTTCTTTCTTGACAGATGGGCGAGCTTAGAGGGTCTCCAAGCGAGTGGCCTTTGGAGGATCAGCCACGTGAAAAGACGCCTCTTCCTAGCCTCGCCATAAGGCTCAACAATTCATTGGCAGGTAAGATCTGAAGTCATAAAGACTTCAATAGGACCGACCTGGACACTTGATTGAAAGCATCAACTGCTAGATTGCTACAGAGGATAGAAATGTCGAACTCATGCTTCAATCAGCATTCTCCTCTATGGCATGTCTGCAACTCTCCTTAGCATAGATCCTATGGATCTGCCGGTCGGGTTAAGTCTCGGCACTCTGGCCTAATAGAAGTTTCTGAGAGGTTCTGTAAGAGGAGTGCACGAGCCACCTTTTGGGTAAGACAGGCCCAGCCTCCCCTCAGTAGCAGTGAGTGAGTGAGCGAACGGCAGATCCCCGCACCTGCGCTAAAAGGCCAACGTGCGGCGCTTCGGACAGGGACCCCAGTCAGCCGGGAAGCAGTCGAATTGACCACCTAAACTGTTTGTGCTGGTGGTGAGCGACAGAGCTGCTGCGGCCGGTTACCAGCGAAAAAAAGGACACGTTGAAGCACAAGAGCTCACATCCCACCCCAACTAGAAAAATCCACCTCTTCTTCCACCAACTCGTCGTCCTCTCCACGATCTGATCTTTCCCTCTTGTCTTGCCTTGTCTTGTCTTGGGAATCTGTCCTCCTTCTTCTTTCCTCGTCGAGCTCTGGGAGCATCATCAAAGGTTCCTTCACTGTGAATCCGCCTGTCATCTACCTCGTCTGCACGACAGCTAGTTGGCCATCGTCGTCCTTTCTTACCCCAACCTCTTAGCTTCCTGTCACCTCCGCACCACCACAACGACACAAAGCTCTCATCACCATGAGACTCAACGCTTTTGCTGCCGCGGCCATCCTGGCCTATGGCGCCTATGCTGATGACGCTCAGAAGGTCATCAAGGAGGAGAGCTCGTCCACTGTAGCCGAGTCCTCCTCCTCTGTAGCAGCTTCGCTGCCCACCTTCACCGTAAGCCAGCCCATCCATTTTCCAAGCTGCACTACCATATTAGGAGCTTCTACCACTTCAATTCTATACAATTACTAGCCATCAATGGAATTACGTGCTAACATTGCCCTCTTCACAGCCTACCAACATCAAGGGAGACTTCGTTGAGCAGTTCACCGATGACTGGGAGAAGCGGTGGAAGCCTTCCCACGCCAAGAAGGACATGAAGGGTTCCGGCAAGGACGAGGAGGAGTGGGCTTATGTCGGTGAATGGGCCGTTGAGGAGCCCATCATCTACAAGGGAATGGAGGGCGACAAGGGTCTTGTTGTCAAGAACGCTGCCGCTCACCACGCCATCTCGGCCAAGTTCCCCAAGAAGATTGATAACAAGGGTAAGACCCTCGTTGTTCAGTATGAGGTCAAGCTCCAGAGTAAGTGTCAAACGCCCCTCCTTGCCATTGGCGCATCCACGTACTAACACTATCACTTCCAGATGGCCTTGACTGTGGTGGTGCCTACATGAAGCTCCTGCGCGAGAACAAGGCTCTCCACCAGGAGGAGTTCGCCAACACCACCCCGTACGTGATCATGTTCGGTCCTGACAAGTGCGGCCACACCAACAAGGTGCACTTCATCTTCAACCACAAGAACCCCAAGACTGGCGAGTATGAGGAGAAGCACCTTTCTGCTCCTCCCACTGCTCGCATCGTCAAGACCACCGAGCTCTACACCCTGATTGTTCATCCGAACAACACCTTCATCATTGAGCAGAATGGCGAGCAGGTCAAGACCGGCAGCCTTCTGGAGGACTTCTCTCCCTCCGTCAACCCCGAGAAGGAGATTGACGACCCGAAGGACAAGAAGCCTGATGACTGGGTTGACGAGGCTCGTATCGCCGACCCTGAGGCCAGCAAGCCTGAGGACTGGGACGAGGATGCCCCGTACGAGATTGTCGACGAGGAGGCTACCATCCCTGAGGACTGGCTCGTTGACGAGCCCCTCACCGTCCCCGATCCGGAGTCCCAGAAGCCCGAAGACTGGGATGACGAGGAGGATGGTGACTGGGTCCCCCCTACTGTCCCCAACCCCAAGTGCGGTGATGTCTCTGGATGTGGCCCGTGGACCAAGCCCATGAAGAAGAACCCCGATTACAAGGGCAAGTGGACTGCGCCCTTCATTGACAACCCGGCCTACAAGGGACCTTGGGCTCCTCGCAAGATCAAGAACCCCGACTACTTTGAGGACAAGACCCCTGCCAACTTCGAGCCTATGGGCGCTGTATGTCTACACCTTTCCACCACTGCACGAGATCATTTTATACTAACTAAGCTGCGCAGATCGGTTTCGAGATCTGGACCATGCAGAACAACATCCTGTTTGACAACATCTACATTGGCCATTCTGTTGAGGACGCCAAGAAGCTCGCCCAGGAGACTTTCTTCGAGAAGCACCCTCTTGAGCAGCTGGCCGAGGCCGCTGACAAGCCTAAGGAGGAGGAGAAGCCCAAGTCTCCCTCTGACCTCAAGTTCCTGGACGACCCCGTCTTCTACATCAAGGAGAAGCTTGATCTCTTCCTTACCATCGCCGCCAGGGACCCCATCCAAGCTGTCAAGTTTGTTCCTGAGATTGCTGGTGGTATTGCCGCCATCTTCATCACTCTGGTCGCTGGTCTCGCCGCTGTCATCGGCCTGGGTGGTTCCGCCGCCCCGGCCGCCAAGAAGGTGGCCACTGATGCCAAGGAGAAGGCCAAGGACGTCAAGGACAAGGTCGCCCAGGCTGCCTCAACCGGTGCCGAGGCCGCAAAAGACACCGCTACCAAGCGCACAACCCGCAGTCAGTCTTAAACGGCTGAGAAGGCAAGGCGAGGTGAAGATGTAGTAGGGACTGAGATCAGTTCAAGCCCGATATGATGATATCCAGCAATCAAAAAGACCAGGACAAAGGAAGCTCTGTTACGGAAATGGAGGACTGTACTACCATTAATGGTACACACACAATGATCCCCAATTGCTTTTGCGAGTATTTCCTTTCTATGTTTGACAGCTCAGGACAGGCAGAGCAGGCGTAGCAGGTGTAATTTATTAGGCATCACAAAAATTTGAGAACCAATGTTGCAAAAAGAATGGCCTTTGAAAAATCAATTGTGAATAATGCGACCGTTCCTGTTCCTGTGCCCGTGCCTGTGCCTGGCGGACATAACCGTGCGAGGATATCTTTGCAGCGTCTCCACGAAGGACAAGTCCGCCTCTAAGCTCCCCCATTGGAATAGCAGGTGGAGACAATGGCATAGTACATTGGCCGAGGTCGGTGAATCGCCGAGTCCCAGCCATAAGGTTCTGAAGAAAGCAGGTCCAGCCGGTAGTGTATAGCATTGGGTGCTAGGTCGCTTCTTCAAGGGTCAATTGCT